GGCCAACCAGCCTTTCTGCACCCTGCTTGGAGTTGGAACCCTGTCCAGGGTCCTCCACATCCTCCAGAGCCAACTCATAGGGGCCCTCGCTGTCGGAGTCTGGTGGCAGCTCCAACGGCTCCTGCTGGGCCACAACAGATGGCTTTCACATTTATAACCATTAACAACATCATCATGGTTACACAATCAAAATGCAGATGTTTGACAAGAAATTCATATTTACAACGGTTGCAGTATCCCGGGGTCACGGGGGTCACCCTTTTGCGACTTTCTGACAAGCAAAGACAATGGCGAGGCCAGATTCTCTTAACGACCAACTGTGGTGATTTGCTAAACTGTGGCGAGAAAAGTCATAAAATGGGGCAAAACTCACTTAACAACTGACTCACTTTAGCGACAGTAATTTTGAGCTCAATTGTGGTCATACATCAAGGACTACCTGTATTTAGTATGAAGATCTGTAGATCAGCCTTTTATAGTTTAGGATTCTCCGAATGCTTCTGTCATTTCTAGCCAATTTGGCTAATCTGGTCCTAAAAATAGAAGGATTGACAAATCCTACATTAACAGATTTGCATACCACAAAATACACATTTCTGTGTTTCAACTCTTGGTAAATTTCTCTTTCTGCTTCTGTATTGTGGGAACAGCCTGATATCATTAAATATCATTTAAAACCAATTTACCATCACAGCTAATGAGAAAGTCGCTTGTCTCTGGAATGGAAGTGCATTTTGTAAAACTGTTAAAATAATTTTGCATTGCTTGTGGGGTCGTCCCAAGGTGCTGAATTCCTATGAAATAGTTGCCACTGTTTTTCAGAATAATGAATTGTTTAATTTGTACAAAGAAGAGTACATTTTATAGCTGCTTTAGAGAAGATACCTATTTAAAAATGTGTTTGTTTTTTTGCATTTATATGCAGCCTTGGAGGAGTGGTTTTTCTTGGCAGTGATTTTTCTTTTTGAAAATAATAAATCAGTTAGATATATCTCAACAAATCTTCCTAAATCTATAATAAGCTTTGCTTTTCGTAGTTACTATAAATTATTTTCCAACTGGAATTCAGTTCCATTTTTCATTATACACAATATGTGTGATACATTACAAGGGATGCCCAAGTCTTTGTAGTCTCTATGATAGTGATGGCTAACCTTTTTGTTCTCATGTGCCAAAAGCGCATGCATGCGAACGCAACAGTGCATGTGCCCCGCCCCCATAATGCAATGTGTGTGCAATCCTCCATGCACCTGCCCCCTGTGCATGCACACACACACGTGCCCTGTGTTGGTCCTGGAAGGCCGCCTGCACCAACTTGGAAACCAAAACAGGGCACGAGGCCCCAAAATGTAATGCAAGCGCACCCCTGAGCATGCCCCCTGAAGACCAGCTGGCTGGCGTGAGGCAGACGCACATGCTCAGTGATGGTGGGCTGGGGCTGGCTCGGCATGCCACCTGTGGCACGTGTTCACCCTCATGGCTCTATGATTTCAATGGGGTTTGTGCAATGACTCAATCCTACATTGTGCAAAATGTTGCTCTGTTTTTAATGGAGAAGCAGGCCAGTCCTTGAAACATTGCAAGGGAATCTTTTGTATGTTGGAGATTTTTTTTAGAGCCGAGGTGGCGCAGTGGTTAAATGCAGCACTGCAGGCTACTTCAGCTGACTGCAGTTCTGCAGTTCGGCTGTTCAAATCTTACCGGCTTAGGGTTGACTCAGCCTTCCATCCTTCCGAGGTGGGTAAAATGAGG